TTTGTATAACCAGTTACTAATGATTAGCTCATGCTACCAGAGCAGTGTAGGAAGAGCTTTAGCATGGCTGTCTCCCATCCCACTTTGGTAAGGCAGTTCAAAGCAACTGCATGTGCCAAACCGTAGAGGCTGTTCATTCCCCCATCAGGTGAAATACGCCATCAACAGATGGTATTTGGGAAATTGGTCTTCCAGTGCTGAGACTTTTCCGTTGTTTAGAGTTTAGCCACACTGGTTGTAGCTACAATTAACAGATTTTCTGGAAGCTCATAATGAGCTATTTGAACATAATCAGGAAAAATGAATCACTTCTCAGACCTACTTTGTTCTGATATGCATCCAGGACTACTGAAATCCTCAGAACTATGCCCCCCATATGATGGTTGAAACGGGGATTTTCTAAACTGAGTTCCTTGAACTAAACAGGAAATTCTTTATTGCTCTGACTTTCGGGAAGACACCAGAGGAATCTGTACACCTTTTAATGTCTGCCAAATTCATTCCACAGCTGGAATCTGTCACTAAGGGCCAAACTACACATTAATCAGGGACTTGCATGTAACTTCAGTTTAGTATAAGGATGGGAACAGCTGTCAGCCTGTCAGTTTGAGATTCCTCTTGTTCCTTTCATCCGAAATAGAAATTTCAGTAAATTCTTTGAAAAGAAACTGAACCAAAATTGTATTTGCGAAGGCTTTCATGGCCGGGATCTAATAGTTGTTGTGGGTTTTTCAGACTCTTTGGCTGTGTTCTGAAGGTTGTTCTTCCTAACGTTTCTCCAGTCTCTGTGGCCGGCATCTTCAGAGGACAGGACTCTGTCCAAAATTGCTCCTCCTCTGCAGGTGCCACACTGAAAAGGAGCTGCTGATGCTACTGGAAGCAAGAGCCCATGTTGTGTGTGCCATACACACAGGTAATGAGATGCCTCTGAACAAAAAAATGTGGCAGCCTTAAAATAGCCACTAGCAAACAGCTTCAAGTACAGACTTTCAAAAGTTTTGCACCTAAAGCATTCTGTCTGGATGGATGAAAATGTGTTTCAGTTTCTCAGAGGTGGGATTTCCTCAATCTTGATCTCTTTCCATTGTGAACAAATTTATACATGTGGGGAAATTATTCTTAAAAAAAATAAGGGACGTGGTGGCGCTGCAGGCTAAACCGCAGAAGCCTGTGCTGCAGGATCAGAAAAATTATTCTTTAAAAAAAAATAATTTCTCCCTAATCACAAGTTTTTTTATATATATGATCAGGGAGAGAAAGAGAGAGAGAATGCCATGTGGAGTGCAGAATTCAGTTTCCGAATAAACATGCATTCAAGCACCTTGGGGAGGAAGGATCCAGAGCAAGAGGTATGTGGAAATTCAATTGTTTAGAGGTAAAGGAAAAGGTTCCCCTTGACAATTTTTGTCCAGTCGTGTTCGACTCTAGGGGGCGGTGCTCATCCCCGTTTCCAAGCCATAGAGCCAGCGTTTTGTCCAAAGACAATCTTCCGTGGTCACATGGCCAGTGCGACTTAGACACGGAACGCTGTTACCTTCCCACCGAGGTGGTCCTTATTTATCTACTTGCATTTGCATGTTTTCGAACCGCTAGGTTGGCGGGAGACAGAGTGCCTAATGATACCGTTCTGCCAAATGGCTGTCTTGCAAGGGCTTAAAATTATGCATTTGCATACAGTACTCTGCATACAACTTACACATACTCTGCCCAAGTATCTCTGCACATGATGTGATATTATCTTCTTAATTACAAAAATGACATGTGGACAAGCCTAAAGTTCTAGAAGCACTTCAGGTCTCTACAGCTCCCCTAAAGCAGACTTGCAGGTATTCTGCAAGTTGTAACACAGAAATATCTTGGAGTGTAAAGTCTGCTTATTTCAGAAAATGGCAATTTGTGGCCTCTGGGCCAAATGCACTTAATTGCACCGAGATCTGCCAGTTGCCAGTCCAGGAGCAAGGGGTTGTACAGAGCAACCAGCCTACCGGTGTAGTAACAGTTGGTGTGGTGCAGTGGTTAGCAAAGTGGTACTGGCCAAGGAGATCTGGGTTCAAATCTCCTCTCATCCATGATGTAGCTCACTGTGCAATCTTGAGCCAAACCTTCTCTCTTAGGCTAAACCCAATCCCACGTTTCTTGTAAGAGTAATGAGGGTAGGGAAAGAAAAACAGCAACCTCTACTATGCCATCATGACCATCATGGATTAAAAGTGGGACAGAACCATTGTCAGTTAAAATGAAAATGGCGGCCGTACCTAGGGCCTGGAAAGAAGGCTATTTGAAAATGCAGTCATAGAATGCTTCACCCACCCACCCCCTTCAGAAAGGCACCAAAGACTTACTACAAAGTGCCAACATGAGCACAACATACTGAATTTTAATAAATTTCTACAAGGCATGTGGCTTAAATTAGCTAGATGTAAATGTTAGCATGTTCACATTATTATTATTTTATTTGTTAACATGTTCTTTAACATTTTGTGTTAATTACTGTTCATTTATTAATATGTTATTAACTGATATGTTACCGATCTGTAACTATTTGGTTGTTCATTGCAGAGATAATTACCTGTCCTTCTGTCCCGCCCCCCCACCACCACCGGATTTTAAGGTGGCATGCAGAGGTCTTTTCAAATACTACACACACAGTTAATCCTAAAACAGATGCTAGGTTTGGTTACAAGAGAGGAGTTGCCTTAAAATTCACCAGTGAGCTCCATGGCTGAATGTGGGGATCAGAGTCTGAAGGATCTTCTAAATTCTAATCTAACAAGCCAACTCAGTCTCCCCTAAGCCCATCATCCCTTGATGAGGGAAGCTGTAGTCCATTCTACAGGGTGTTGGGATAGGGAAAGGCTGCTCTCACTTCCATGCTAACTGGCTTCCAAAGATTTTTATTTGTGTAAGGCTCCACAATTTACAGCAACCTTTCTGTCCCTTCCCCTTCATGTTGCTCATGAAAGCACCCTACCCCTGTTCTAAACCTATTCTTAACAGGAAACCTTCTCCAGATGCTCTCCAGGACTTCACAGCTGACAGGGGAGGTTCTGTTATGGGGAGGGGGCAGGGCTTGGCAGAGATGGACGGGAAAGATACAAGCCTGTGAGTCTGTTTTAAAAACAGGGAGACTGCCCTCATTTGCTAGACATTAAGCACACAAGAGTATTTGATTCCTGCCTCTCTGCCATCAGTTCCAGCTGGGGGAAGATCCCTTTCGGGAGAAGGACTCTCCAGGCACTGTATGCAGTCGATCCTGAGCAAGGAAAGGCTTCTGCAGCTATCAGGACCTAAATCAACCAGTCTTTGACTTGGAGAGTTTTCAAGGTAAAATCTATTTTAAAGCAGTGAATGTATTTTGCTGGCAAACCTCTTTTCAGTTTAATGCTTCCCACCCACCCCAAGGCCATCAGTTTCCATGAAATTTGACTTGAAAGAAGGTTCAGAAATGGCTTTGTTAGAGTGGGTATGGAGCACAAAATATTGAAAAGAATAAATCTTCAAATTCAGGTTTATGGGAGGCAACAGTGGTTTATTCTCAACTCACCACCCCAAGTACTTGCAAATATTTCTCTCTTTTCATGCAGTATTTATTTGTGTTTTTGTTTCGGATGGTGGGTCATTTTGTGAACTCGTAGTCTCATAGGAAAGCCCAATTGTCATACAGTGATATTTTAACATGAATATCTATGTCCCTGGAAGAACGGCAGTAAGCAGCCCAAACAGCTACTGTTTGATTCCAAGACTGTAGATGAAAGGACAAGAAGAGGGCATTGACAAATTAATGCAAAGATCCATCATCACACATTGCTTTCCCTACTTAAGCTACAATCGTACCTATTTACCTGAGAGTAAATCCCACAACTCAACCTCTTCTGAGCAGAATATGTTAGAGCAGCTGTCCAAATGTCCAAGAGCAGTAATTTAATCGGTAACAATCAGTGCATTTACTCAGGAATAATAGCCGAAGGTGTGTTTTCCCCCCCTTAAGAACACCTCTCTTTAACTAATAAAAGGAAAAGACCATTAAAAGACATATTTCGTTTTGTTTTTAAGAGGTAAATATTTTATTTTTCGTGGGCTGTTTCTTTCGGGCTATGAGGAAATGGATCCCCTTCCAGCGCAGAAATTCCCCCGGCGGATCTCTTCACCTGTGGGGTGTGTGTGTGGAGTTTTCCAGCGATTCCCGCTTTTTTTGGGGTGCACTATATGCCGTTTGGGATTATCCCCTCGAGAGCCATGTGCCGAGGAAAGGACCGGCGATCCCCCTGTTCCCAATCTAAACTTCCTAGCTATTGTTTGTTTTTTCCCTTCCTAAAGTTGGCCGCTCGCCCCACAAAGGGATCAAAGCCAGGGAGCGGGCCGGCTGGGCAAGGTTGACGGCGGAGCCACATCGGGTTTGGGCTCCGGACCTACCTAATCGGTCTCTCAATCTCTCTCTCTCTCAATCTCTCTCTCTCTCCCTCACTCCCTCCTTCCCTCCCCTTTGGCCCCCCACCCCACCCCTTTCTGGCTTTGCCCAACAGCGCGCCAGGGTTGAGACTCGGCAGACAGCGGCTCGCCTGGCTCAGGGCGGGAGGAGTGGGTCGCACGTGCTTCGCCTGGCTGAGGCCGGAGAAGACCGGGGCCCCCTCCAA